TCTGTAAAATTGGAGTTTTCTTACTGTTGTGGGTTGTTGTTTTTTTTTTTCCCCTCTAGTAAACCCTGTTCATTAAGTTGTTGTTACAGACATGTCAAAATGAAATGTATACACAGATGTTACATTGTTTGACTACAAGATTAGAGTAATAAATTCTGGTTCAGATTAGTTACATTTACTTTAGTTGATACAAGACTTTCATACCTATTTTCTGAAGAGGTGCAGAAGCTGTTCAGCATGTATGCACTAACGTTCTTAAATGTGCACATGATTACTGGAATTGTATATAGAGCCGATGTGAAGAACCAGTTGTTCAAGTGCTTATAGCTGTGGGAACAATAAATGATTGTGCATATAATAAGCTGCACAAACGTTCACATAGATACCTGGGGTTTTTAACTGCTTCCAGTGTTACTGCTCCAACAGTCAGATGAGCAAGAGGACTCAAGCATTACCTTACTGAAGTCCAACTCTAGGCACCTGAATCCAGGAGTGTGAGGAATATTGTCTTAAAAAGGCCGTAACGATCTGTAATCTATAGGTATCTTCTGTGTGTTTGTTTATTGAATGGCTTGCATTTTTGCTTCTGTTTGTGTTGAGAAGTGCCTTGGCTTTTATAACGCCGAAGAGTTAGGTGCCTACCTTGCACTGAAACCTGAATTTTCAGCTATGTGATTCTGGTAAACTTGCCGAGAGCCAGCCAGATGATATGTATTATACTTCTGGAAAAAATCTTTCCCCATATGAAAGAGATGCCACTCTGTTAAACCTATTTGTTAAGCCGTGAGCAGGCTTGTTTTTCAAGGAACTGTGATGTCAAAAAAGATATCTGGCCTGTGCAATGGAGAAGGTTGCAGAGACCCCACAAAGCACTACTGTATGAGCTGTCTCTGGAACTGGAAGCATGACAGCCTTCCTCAAGTGATGGTATGTGTGACCTTGCCTCCTCGCCTGAAGTTAGTGGTACTTTAGTGTTACCATTCTGATCTGAAGACCTGAGGTATCAGTTCCGCAGTGTTTTGTGTCAGGAAGGGGCACAGTAAGGGCATACCATCAATTTGTTACCTAGTGGGCAGTGATTACAAATGTCTTTGTAGCATAAGGCCATAGTTAAACAGGAATGTTTTGCTTTTTCAGTGAAAGGTTTTAATCCTTATCATCGAGTGGTTTGAAGGAAAATGTGGCTGTAAGTAGGAGAAGATTTGAATTCATGTGAGTTTAAAATCTGTTAGGAAACTTGCCTGCAACTTCCTCTGCTGTGGGAAAGATGTATTATAAGACAGGGTATGTGCCTGGATTATTCTCGTGCATGTCAGTGTAGATGATGTAGAGCTTCTGCATCAATTCTTTTGCATTTTTCATTGAACCAGTTGTTTGATTTATACAGTTAAAGGCATGCTGTAGGTTGTCTTCTTGTTGCAGTTTTATGCTTTCAGAGCTTATCTGGGTGTGGTCTAGTATGAATTTCTCAGCTGGTATCTGACAATCTGGTTTGTGGAATCAGTTTTGCAAGAATGATGTTGTAGCAATCGTGCTACATAGCTGTGTGCTTCTCAACCACAGAGATACGTTGCTTGCCCTTTACAGGCAGGAAAGCTGAAACACGGAGGTCCCTGACAACTCAACGGCAGAATCTCAGTGTCAGTGTAGTAGCTACTGTGTCTTACTGCATATAGTCTGTGTACATTTATTAGCCAAAGACAGTATGATGCTTCTCACTATTTTCAGGAAGACTGACTAATAATGTTCAGTGAGCATTGTGCTCAGTGAAATGAGACAGTCATGCTACAAATCCTGTCTGTAAGGAGGATCACTGTGGCTGTGGGAAGTCCATCTGATGACTTGGAAAATATTCTTATTTGCCTAAATCTGTTTCTATACCAGATTGCTTTGTTTTGCCACAGCAGTTTCTTTTTTTGCAACTAGTTGTGTTTTTACTGATGAATAAGCCAACCACCTTGCTTTACATAAGTTTTTCAAATATTTCTGAGGTTTAAAAAAAAAAGTTGAAAAATGAAAACCTCTAAACATCCTTCCCATACCATATTCTAATGCAATGACCTAACTGAATTTAGTATGTATCTTTGTAAGAAGCAAAAACATGTAAAGAGGTAAATGCTGAAATTCTAACGCTAAGAAGTCATTTGGGGAGGAGAATGTAAGGTTCTCATGTACCTGAAAATGTAATTGCAGTGTTTCTTCACTGTAATGGTGTATGGCTGCATCCACCCTTCTCTTTGTAAAAGATGAGTCGCTTCAAGTTGGACATTGTTCTAGCCAGCAATTACATCTGAAAGAAGCAAAAGTGGTAATTCATCTGAACCACATAGGTCAACCATACAGCAGATTAACCTAATGGCTTTGTTGCTGCTCTACTGGAAAGTAAGCTGTTGGTCTTTCTGGAAGAATTTTATCTGAAGTATCTTAGAATGAGATCCAGAATAGAAGCTCTGAAATCAATATTAAGACACTTACAAACCACAACTATTATAATTTGATTTGATACTTCTTTTAAACTGCCTCAGAAATGGAAAAGGATTTTGCAATTAGGGAATAATATGACAAACAAATTGGCCTCCTCCCATAACTTTTACCAGAAATGGCTAATTTATCTCTAAATGATGTAGGTCATGCATTCTCTTTACATTATTGGGACATACAGACTTTTTCTGTGCATTTGCTGTAAATGGAAGAACAATCAGCTCAGACAAAAGAGAGAGCATGTTGATTTAGTTGATACTCCTAAGCACTTGATTCTTGTGTATCATTAATAAATTATATGTAGTGTTTATTGACTTCCATAGGATGGTGATTCAATTGCATTCTAGCATGTGGTCTCTTTTTGTAAAGTGAAATTCCTAATGGGCACTTCATAAGTAACTGGCCAAATATTTGGGGCAAAATAGAGCAGACTTTCTTGTGTTGGACTTGCAGTATAATGCACCAGTGATCCTCTTTTTTTTGTTTTGGTTTTTTTGGGTTGTTTGTTTTTTTTTTTTTCTTTGACTGTGCTTCAGAAGTTGATATACTTGGTGTATATTGCAGTTCAGTTTTACTTTTTCCACACAGCATTGCAGTATGAATTTGGGTCAGTTTATCATTCTTGGTCAATACTGGTTGCAGTGTGTCATGCACAAATGAGTCTTACTGAGCAGTTTGTAACAGAAGAAATTTAATTTCTCTGGACCTTGCAGCTTAGCTTATTTTTCAGTTGCATGGCTAAAAATTAGGTTGATGCTTCTGTCCATTGTTTTTCATGATCACATAATAATCTATACCTAGTCCTTTTCTATTCAATGTATGTGTACAGGCTATCTATGTTAGCATTCATTGATTTTGTCCGTGTTCAGTTCATTTCTTTGCTCTGTGTGGTTTGATTCTCTTCAAGCATATATTCAACTTCTTTTTAACATCAAAAATATTTTGTTAAAATAGTGGGAGTTTGTTTCAATGAGTGGTAATTACAGCTTCATGATTAGTTCTGGTACTGCACGAAGTATGGCGGGGGGCAAGAAGATTTGGTATATCTGTGTTCCAAAATATTTTGGAAGGCGAATGACTTACAAAGCAACATTAGGAAATAAAGTGCAGAAGGTTTTTTAGAGAGTAGGCATCAGTTCAAAGAATCGCCGCAAGCCAGCTTTTTAAGGTTTTGTATTCCTTATTTGTTTACTTTTCTAGTGATACTAGAGCTGAGAATGTTTTGTTGCAGCAGCACAGTGAGACGTCAATGTTCCTGTTGGCAAAGCTAATGTAAATTTGGTATGAGCTAAGGTACACTGAGCTGGAACTGCTCTGACTGCAATGGTGGAACTGTTCAAGAAGCTGTATGTTTGAGTGAAGAAGGTTTCTTTTTTTAACACATATTTTGTTATTCTGAAGATGTTAGTTCCTTTCTCCGTAACAATTTAATTCTGAAAGAGTTGAGTACTGTTTGCTGCTTGGTTTCTATTCGGGTTACATAGGGTAACTCCCTTCCTTTCTCTCCCATTGTGGTTAACGGTACGTACTGCTTTGGTGCAGTTAGAAAGTTTCTGTGCAGTTTTGCTACTGTTCTGTCATGTGGAAACGCATCTGGCCATATCACTTAGTAAAATCTTCTTTTAAAATATTTTGCAGCACAGAAATTACTCTTCTGCTGAAATGTTTTGCAATTAAAAATACATATATGTTCCTGCATATATGTTTGCTTTTTTGACAAACGTGCATATCTTCTCTAAATGGATTTGGCTTCTTCAGGTCAAAGTAATGTGCTAAAATTCCAATTTAATATAGAAAATGGAGCACAGATACATTTTCCTGAGAAACAATGGGACAAATACTGTAGTGGGTTTTCAAAGTCAGTTTAATACTAGTGCTGTGAAATCTGAAGCATTCAAAAGATCTGAATTCTACAACAGCTAAGTTCTTCCTGATATCCTGTATGTCCTCCTATAGTCTAGAATAAATGGTGTATATTTGAGGAATGCCCACTCATTTATTAGTGGGGTCTACTCTTATCACTATTACTGCCCTTAAAAAAAGAAAGAAAATATTTATGTACAACTTGATTATCCAAAAATGTGTTTAAGAACTTTGTTCTATGTATTTTGTTACTCAACTTTAATGTCTTCCATTCTTCACCATGGTTGAGAGATAATTCTCAAAGTTTTTTAGTTTCTGTCTTTGATGTTTCAGTTTTGTTTGTAATTTTCAGAATACCTAGATATTTGCCTTGTCTCTGCAGAGAAATTCTGCATGCACAGCCAAAATGCAAAATATTTGTCTTGCAAAAGACTTTTTGCATTTGTGAGTGTTTCATATAAAAGTTCTTCTATGTCAAGTTTGTTATTGGTTTGGATATCCTTAGATATCCATAGATGGATTTCTTTCTAGGCATGAAAAGTGGTATGACAGATCTGTGCAGAAGTGACCTAATTTTATGCTGTTAATGTTATGTTTCATTTTTTTTCTCACATACTATTGTGTTTTACATTACTCCTATTTTTCTTCTAGGCAAACGGAGTGGGCGTAGTAAAAAATGGAAAGAGATGCTGAAGTTGCCACCTGTTAGTCATTGTGAAGGTATTAGATGCTCAATCGGTAGGTGTCCTTTAGAATGGTCTGTCTGATTTTTTTGAGAAAGACAGGTAAGTTTGGTGGTGTTAACTGAAAGGATTCTGTCTTGCTTCTGAATGCTAATTAGCAACAAAAGCTATTAGACTTTTAATGTGATGGAGAATTTATGAGAAGATAAATTTATGAGAAGATAAAAGCTGTATCACAGCTCCTTGTTTGTTAAAGGAAACTGCTCCTAAAGGATAAATTTACAAAGCCATGAATTAGAAAAAGGAATCATGTTGTAATTTGAATGACATGGTAATTTATTTCACTTTTTTTCTTGATGTCTTGTAATAATTTTTTAACCTTTTCTATTATTGTCTTGTATTCCTTCTTTCCAAACAACCTTGTTTGCTTTGGGATTGCTGTTTTGCAGTATTGTTGCTTTCCACCCGCCAACCTAAATGAAACTTAACCATATCATTCAATGTGTTTTTAATAAATCTGATAGTCTATAAGAGGTAAATGTGGCTAGAAGCGAGTATTTCACTATTGTTTGGGATCATTGCATGGTTTTGATGTCTTTGCTAAATATGTTAATGTAAAATCTTCACATTTTAGTGATGTTTTTCTGACCTATTCTCAAATGGGAGTAAGGACCATGCTATGACAAAGATAAAAATAAAGTGATTTACTTATTATTTCTTTCTCAGAAAGAGACTATAACCAGCTTTGTGACAAACAGCCGATAGGAAGACTTCTCTTCAGACAGTTCTGTGATTCCAGACCAGATTTGAAAAGATGCATTGAATTTCTGGATGCAGTGGTAAGCAGTGAGAAAAAAGCAGTAGGCCATGGCTTATACATTTTTGCTTGTAAAAAGTTTGATTTTTGTACTGGTTTTGGCTGGGATAGAGTTAATTTTCTTCACTGTAGCTCGTGCTGTGCTGTGTTTTGGATTTTGGACCAAAACAGTGTTGATACCAAGGATGTTTTAGTTATTGCTGAACAGTGATTACACAGCATCAGGGCCTTCTATGTTTTTCGCGCTGCCCCACCAGTGAGCAGGCTGGGGGTGCACAAGAAGTTGGGAGGAGACACAGCCAGGACAGCTGACCCCAATTGACCAGAGGGATATTGCATACCATGTGATGCCGTGCTCAGCAATAAAAGCTGGGGGAAAGAAGGAGGAAGGGGGGAAGTTAGAGTTATGGTGTCTGTCTTGCCAGGTAGCTGTTATGCATGATGAGGCCCTGCTTTTCCTGGAAGTAGCTAAACTTCTGCCTGCCGATGGGAAGAAGCGAATGAATTCCTTATTTTGCTTTGTGCGTGCAGCTTTGCTTTATCTGTTAAACTGTCTTTATCTCAACCCACAAATTTTCTCACTCCTACCCTTCTCATTATCACTGGCGGGGGAGTGAGCGAGCGGCTGTGTGGGGCTTAGCTGTCCACCAGAGTTAAAACACCACAATTTTATAAAATATTAATTTTCTCTAAACACATCTGTGCACTAGTGCTGCATACGTGGAAAGATAGTGAGATTTACATTTTGCCAACTCTAAAGCTGTAACTTTTGATGAATGTCAAAAAACTCTAGCTGTTACTTAAAGGAAGATATTTAACATTTACTATGAAATCTCTGACATCGTGGTGTGGTCAGAGCTACAAAAATGGGCATGATGGCAATGAGAGAAATAATTTTAGAAAGACATGCTGCTTGAATTCTTGAATATTACTTACGATACTCCAACTTGAAAATGTTGTAAACATAGACTTGAAAATGTTGCAACTTGCATGGAAGCCCTAGGCTAGACAGAATGTGCTAATTAAAAAAAATACAATGGAAATGGAAATTTAGGGAACCATCTATGGAAGGAGAGAAACCAGGTTTTAGAGACCAAGGGAAAAGGAAGTGTTTTGCCTTGTTACATTTGCACCTTGGTATCTAACACTAAAGAATGAGGGGAGGAAGGAAGTGTGTCCACAGCCATGTTTTGCAGAAAATCCTCAGACAAAACCCTCATGGGGAGGGGGAAAGTAATGAGTAGGCAGACACACCGACAGTCCTTGAGAGGAGAGAATAATAGCTCAGAGCTTTTTATTCTTTGTCCCTCAGAGTCAATCCAGGAGCAGTAAGATATAGTCTTAAACTGAAATTGATACCAAAAGAACATATTTCCTCATCCCACCAATTTTTTTTCATATATTCAGGGAAAAAATGACCAAAGAAGATGGCCAAATTATGCCGCTGCTTACATGCGTCCCAAAATACAGTCTCGGAATGCAAGATGGCTCTGAGACATGCAGGGTGTAAGGAAGTACATGGGATTATTGCTGTGCCCCTCACTTCACCGTATCTTCCTTCCCCCTACGGGAGTGTAAACTGAGGCATTTGATCAGCTAAAAAGGAACTTTAGTGTCAAATAAGTAGAATTGCCTTGTATTTGTCCATGAATCTTTGTGCAATTAGGCTTGCTCCCCAGGTGCATTTCACCATACTTTTGTGACTCTTAGGAGCTGTTCTAGCACCAAATTCCAGAGACCAATGTGACAGTTGGAGACATAGAATGGATTGAATGGAAATCCAGAACAGTGGAGCTAAATATTCTGAAGTGAATGTAAACTGGAGCCTTTAATGAGCATCACACAATGGGGAGACCAGTGACAACTGTGGATGTGCCTTTAATGGTTACAACTTCTGTACCTATTTTTAATCCTTAAAAGCTTAGATAAGGAGTAGCAGAATCTTAGGCAGCACAAAGGAGAAGAAAATCTTAGGCCTGACTGTAAGGCAGGCACGTCTTTGCTCTAGTGATGTCATTTTTCTGGTGAAATTGTCTCTAAAAAGTAACTGTGTTTTACACTAACTGAAAATTTTGAATTGTTTTGAAATATGCAACCTACGATGTTGTGTGGATTGCAACACATCTGTGAATTAGCAAAGACTCACAGTTGAGATAATCTGACATAAGGGATGATTTCACAATTTACTTTTTAAAATTTTTTTAAATTCCATTTGAAAAATCATGGTGAAGTAGTATGCTTGGGAATAACTGAAACAGAATTCTCTTAAGAGCTAAGATAATCTCTAATCGGTGACTCTCTTGATCTGAAAGCTAGCATGCTGTCTTGATCAAGGAAGTGAGACAAAATACCTACTGTCTCTTACAGATGGTTCCTGAGTTAGCCCGATTCCCTTTTCTGGGCTGGACTTCAGCAAGCTTGTTCAAGCTTTTTTTGGGGTGGGGGGTGAGGTTGAGGATTTTTTGGTTGGTTTTGTTTGTAAGGCAGTAATGTGAAGGGAAGGGCTAAAGTTGTGGGGTTTTTACCTCAGGTTTTGCCAATTTAAATTTTTTTTTTATTTTAAATAAATTTTGGGCTTAATCTTTCTGAAAATAAAATTTCTGGCATAAAATGCCATAGTCTTAAGAGCCTTGCATCTTAATTAAAAGAGTTTTCTGACTCTCTTATATGGAGCAATGTGATTTTAGCAGCATGATTATTTCAGGAGGCCAAAATGGCAATATCAAGGTAGTACAGTGTTGTCTACCTGTACGGAGTACTAAGACTGGTAAGCTTTAACTCTTGAGAAGGTGTGACCTTAAAGTCTGGAATCAGCTTGGCTTTACAGAGAGAAGAGTTGTGAAATAATTGAATAAAAGTGACAGAAATTAAAGTGAGGAATTACAGTTATCCAATCATCTAGTGACTCATTTCACTAGCTGGGGACGAGGTTACTCAAGTATGAAAAAGAATGTGTGACAGCTCAAACTTCCCTCTTAAGCTCTGTGAGTAACAGAAATGAGTTGACAAGGCTGTCTCTTAAACTTCCTTTTAAATTACAGTATCTGCTTAAAACAGTATGCCTAACTGTTTGTATTAAATTAGTGACTACTTTGGCATAACTGAAAATGTTTAAGGTGGTAAGTGCACTGCTGTAGTTGATTAACTTTTCTGACCTGCTCAGGTTGTTTGGTAGTTGGAGAAGAATTCCTTACCATTAGACTGATTGCTGTGGAATTAAAGTAGCAAAAACAATGGCTTGCAATTGTTTATGGATTTGAGTACTGTGCTGAAGTGGTTGATACCATAAAGTCTCAGCAGAAAAAGATGTTGATGACTTAGTAGTGAGTCAGTGTGGGTTCGTTGCAATTGATTGCAGAACTGGAGTTCAGGGATTCTGTTACTTCCAGTGTGTGTGTGTGTGTGTGGGGTTGGTTTCTGAACTGTCATTTTTTCAGTGTTCTAGTTTTCTTTATAAAGGTACATAACTTCTCTTCTGATTAGATCAATCACTTGGAACTTCCTATGAGGTTCTTACTGATTGTGGTCCCGATATGCCGAACTGTTGTTTTGCATGATACAGTCCTCCATTCTGGAGGCCTGCCATATGTTCTTTGTTCCTAGGTGCATGCATTTACATTCTGAGATATGAAGTAAGCTTTGATTGAGTTGGCCGAGCTTACGAAGCTAACACAGGTTGCTGTTTGAGATTGCTCTTTTCTAGTTCACCTTTCCCCAGATTCTGTGTTATCTTTAAATGTTTTAACTTCTGATGTCTGCTTCTAGATTATTCCTTAAAATTATTGATAGTAAGTAGTCCTTGGAGTTTCTCAATACCAGTATCTGTTTGATGGTTTGGGGTTTTTTGTCCTGTAAAAAAAAGCTACCTCTGGAGCTCTATTAAGCTGCCAGTTGTTTATCTGTAAAATGCACTGTATTGCACAATGGTCTTTTTCTACATCACCGTACCATATATTACTAAGTCAAAAACTTCACAAAATTTTATATCTACTCTGTTTTATTTTCTCAAAGAATTGAAGTAGCGTTTGGTTTAGATCTCACTTATTTCCAGTTAATATCACCTTGTAGAAAGTAGTAGTTTTATCCTGGGTTTACCCAAGACTGTGGTAAAGAAAAATACATGAAGGAAAAAAATAATACAGTGAAGAAAAAGGTTATTCTTGTACTCTTATTTAATTATTTCCCATCTGGATCATTCTGTCCCACAATACTACATAAATACTATTTCATTGTAATTGATCTAATTTAACCTCTAGGATGCAGTTTCTGTAATTGCATTTAGACTAATTGTTAGTTTGCATGTGTTTTCCAAAAGTTAAATTCCATGTGCTTTTTTCCTTAGGGCTGTTCTTCATACATGTTTCACTATATAGCCTAAAAATCTTTAAATAGATTTTAAACAATGAGAGCCTTCAGTTCCTTTTATATTAGCAGCATTGTGTTATTCATGATAAAATTTACCTGGCATCATGTAAAAGACTGTAGTGCCAAATAGCTCTGAACATCATTTAATTTTCAATTCCATTCCCCTAGGCAGAATATGAGGTATCTTCAGATGAAAAGCGTATAGACTGTGGCCTGAAAGTTTTAGAGACGTACTTCACTAATGGGGTAAACATATTATATTGTAAAATATTGTCTGAAGTGTAAATTTTGTAAATGTCAGATAAATACAGATCTAAGTGGTTGCATTGTTTTTAGTAAATTGACTTTCAAACTTTATTAGTCCCATTTTTGTCTTTCTGAAAGGTATACTGCCTTCTAAAATTGTGAAACTTATCAACTTGAGCAGAAACCTTGACAGATCTCTGCTTTTAAGACTACTACTATTACGATTTATTCTCCTATGTTTTCTAATTAAAATACTGGTCTCAAGTAAAGATATATTTTTAAACAAACTCATTTAGCGTCTAAAGAAAACTTATTAACAAATTAACTCAGTTTTGCAGTCTGAAGACATGAGAATGAGGAATTCTTGAAATTCTCAGGCTTCTTTCAGACTCCTGTGTGGCCTTGGTTGGTTTGCTGTAAATTTTCAGAATTGCTGCAGGTTTTCACAAAGTGAAATGCTGTGCTGTTTTGGTTTGTTCTAGAGCATTCTGTTTCTCTGTATTTTGCATGGAGATCATTAACAGCTGATATTTTGCATATATTAGATCTCACTGATTGATTTTTAAGAGTCTGTTCTTTGGTATCTGATAGAAGCTTTTTTGTGGATACCTAATTAGGTGTTTGCTTTCTATGAATAGATGCTCCTTCTGCTTCTCTTACTTTGGTCATCTTGAGAAGGCTTTATTCCAAATGAAGGTCTTGCAGATGCCTTAACACTCCAAGTTTGCCACATCTCTTCTGATAATTTCTTTGGGACTACCATAAGCCACATGCAGTTTTGGAAAAAAAAAACCACAACAAACCACAAAACCCAAACCCAAACAAACCAGATTTCTTCGGGCTGGTTTGAAATAGTTTCCCAAATTGTGTTTATGTTTCTTCCCCCTTCCTTCTGTCCTGCCAAACCAAACAGATAACTTGCTTTTGTGCTGGTAGACTTACGGAAAGAAAAAGAAATTTGACTTATTGCCAAGTTTGTTTCCCCAGATAGTGAAATAGTAAGTAACTGTAATAGCTTTCAATGCATTTTTCTGTAATGGGGAACAAATAAAAATTTTGCCTGAATATGACTTTCTTGGTTTTCTCTTTAGCCAAACCATTCCTTTCCTCTTCCTGTATTAGCAGATTTCATTTCACTTTGATATACAGAACTTTCTCGTTCTATTGATTTACAAAATTGCTTTCATTGTTGCCTTTTTTTTTTTTAAATTATGTAAAGTCTGCAGCACACTTGCCAGAAATACCTCAGGAAACAGTAAATGAATGTAAAGCAAGACTGGAAAAGAACCCTTCTAAGGATCTTTTTATGGACTGTACTAGGTGAGTTAAAAATGCATAGTCCTCAGTTTGAGTATCATAAGGGAAATTCGTGTGTTTCTGAGCGAAATGAAAGGTGAAGTTATTACAACAAGGAGTATTTGGTCTCTGAAATGAGTGTAGGTAAGAAATTTGGAACAGATTTATTAAGGGACTAGGTTTCTTTCAGGTGCGATGTAGATGTTTGGCTTTTGCAGAACTTTTTCTTTAAAGCTATTTTTGCATAAAATCACACTATTATCTGCTACCATGTATTCTTTAAATTAGAATAGTATTTCTCTTTATTATTTTCTTACCTTTTGAGTGACTTCTCTTCCATGATGAAGGTACATAGATAAATATGAAGTTAACTGGAGTTTGAAAGGTTTCTGAACAATGTTACACAGTTTATGGTTCTTGAAAATGGGTTGAACTGAGGCCAACAGTTATCTTCCATTAAGGCAGCCGATTAGAGGATCAGTTGTGATAGTTAACACAAACAAATACAACTTGGTTTTGTTCTGAAGTCATGAAGTGATATTTCACACAGCAGCAGCAGGGAGGGCTTTTCTTGGAGGAACGGTCGATGTTTACCAGTGTTGCGTGTCTTTCTAAAGCCTTTTATGTTTCTGATATTACTGGTTCTTCAAGGCATGCTTGATCATGTCTGAAGGATTACAACACATTTTGTCACTGCTTGGGTCATCTCCCTGACAACAAAAATAAGCATACTTTATAACAACCTGAGATTATAAAATTGAAAGGGATGTGTGAGAACACCTAGTAAAACACGTCTCAAATGGAGGATCTGTCATGTAGGTCATCCCCTTTCCTCTGTCCAATAAATAACTGAATACAGTTTGAATGACTTGTTTTCCTCCCCTGCCACCTAGGTGTATTTAATTTAAGGGGAATGATAAGTACCTGGTGTTCGGGTTTGGATATGGCATTTAGTATTTCAATTTAAAATCCTAGAATAAAATTTTACTTACTAATCTCCAAAGAATGTATGAAAACTTGTAGACGCTTTCCTGTAAAGATCTTTCAGAGGTCATATTTGTGCGATCATACATGTATTGCATAGCTACTGAGAGGCTGATATTTAGATGGGCTTGAAGACAATGAGAATGCAGAGGTCAAACTTTCTAGTTACTGCAAGTAACAGTAGTTTGGTGTTCACTAGTGTTTTGACAGGAACAGTTTTCTGTGACAGGCACTCACTTTGTGAGACATCTAGGTTAAAACCATTATAGAGCACAGTGACAATGTTTTTTTTGCCTACACCTTCATTGATATGTTTGAGTATATATTAACAGATTGATAGCTCTTGCTTCATCAGTTTTTTCAGTATAAGATTGATTTTATTTTCCTGTTGCTAGAATTGTCCATGAATACCTAAGCGGAAGACCTTTTGAAGCTTACCAAGAAAGTGTGTATTTTTCCCGTTTTTTACAGTGGAAATGGCTGGAAAAGTAAGTTAGTTTATGTTTGCATTATAATTTTGCTTTGCTTTGTGGCCAATTCTGCTTGTTATGCTAGAAATGCTATAAAGCCCTAATGAATGACATGGCCTGTCTAAGAAATTATGATCTGAAAGACAAGATTTAAAGGATGATGTTGATGAGAGTGTGAGAGAGCCAATACTCCAATGGAATTGTCTGCCCAGGAGTCTTTAAGTGGTAAATTTGTATTAGGTAAATACAAACTTATCATATGGATATATGTTTGGCTGTCAAGTGTACAGTGGGGAAACCAATCTTTCTTGGGAATGCTACCATCCTTCAGTTTCAAATTTGGACTAATTAGTGGTTAATCAGCAGATTAATCTAGTTTTATAACCCACTGGGTGGTCGGGTAACTAATCAGTTTTTTAGGGCGGTACAGACACAGACAACTGCAAGACAGCAAGATTTGTATATATCAGAATCTAGTTTGGGCTTTTAAATCAATGCTAAATGAGTGTCCAAGACTCTTTCAGAAGGCTGAAGTTGGTAGGAATTGATTCTAATACAGCACTGCTGGGTGTCATGATGACATATTCAAACATTAAGGTGCTTGAGCATTAATTTTATGGTAAATTCCAATTATTCAGTGTCTTTGACTGAATTAGTAGCAAAAGCCAGGAAGAGAACTAGGGAAGTTACTCAACAATTAAACAATTAAAAAAATTAAAGCAAATTCTCTACCAAATGAACCTCCATTTGTTGTCCTGAGAACAAAGCTGCATTAACAATGAGTGCTCTTTTAAAACAAAACAAAAAAACCCCAGCTCATCACCATCAAATAGCCCTGCTGTGATACATGTTTAGGAGTGTTTTAGCATAGAATGGCTGATACCTTTACTGCCTCCAGTTATCTGTTCCCCTTCCATTGCATCAATACCTTAACAATTCAGCTCTTGAACTGCTGTTGCATACCACAGCTCTTTCTTTTTTGAAAAAGCCAAACAGCAAAGCAAAATCAGAAATGGTTTACCTTTTAAATTCTGTATTGTAAGCATGATCTTATGGAAACACAGCCTATATACATGTCAGCATACTGCAGCTAAGGGAGACAACTGGAGGTGATAAATTGACCATTGATGAGAACAGATAAGGCTCTAACCATAAACAGCCCAGGGCCCAATTGATCAGCTTTTCTTCCTGGTATTGTGAATGTCTGATGACCACATGAGGGAGCCAGTGTTTCTTATCAGAGCACCCCTTTCATTTGAAATTCAGCTTATTGTAATACTGTCTTTATGATGTCAAGGCAACTGTTGTTCAGTCATAGAACAGGAAGGAGAAGATGAAGACAGGTGGGGAGGGGATTACTAACTCTTGTAATTCCTGTTGCAGTAATTGTTTCTTTCTGTTCATCAGGCAACCAGTAACCAAACACACATTTAGGCATTACCGAGTACTAGGCAAAGGTGGATTTGGAGAGGTGAGTACAGAACTATCTTTCTGCGAGGCAATCCTGAAGGAAAAAAAACAAGTCAATACAGAGGAGGAGCAGCTTTTTAACTCTTGACTCTAACAATCTACATTGGACACATCACCTGGCAAATTGTAGTCAATCCAAACTGTTTTCTTTTAATGTGTTAGTTTCAGTATTGTAAGTCATGCATGAAGTTGCAGAAAACTTCCACTGACTAACAACAGTTGCTTCAATTTAGAAATGTCATTTGGCAATGAGAATGTAGTTTCTACTTAATAATTACGTAACTATTCATGAACCTGATAAGAAAATCTATACATTTTATTCATGCTGTTTGTAATTCATAGGATTTTTTCCCCCCTACACACTTTAACCAGAGCCCTTTATTGAAGGAGAAGGAGGGTTACTAAATTATCATTATCTTTCTCCCACTTGATTATGGCATGGATGTTTGTCCTCTGTCCTGCTTACCTAGACATACAGCGTTACCACAGTCAGGTGTTTCAACAACACAAGATCCACAGTTTTACTGAACTATTCAACCCCAACAAAAATGGGTTTGCCCCTATATAATCCCTTTTTCTACTCCTGTTACAGCTTTTGTGACCCTTCAGAATTGTTTCACGGGTGAAAGCTCTGTATTGATGCTTACAGACCTTCATTTTCTGACAGCATTCAAGAGTGTGAAAAAAGAAAATAAAATTTTATCTTCTTTAAAAAAAATTCTAAAAAACCCCTGGCATCTCTGACACACCTTCCTTCTCTTTTAGGTGTGTGCCTGTCAAGTACGGGCAACAGGAAAAATGTATGCTTGTAAAAAGCTAGAAAAAAAGAGAATAAAGAAGAGGAAAGGAGAATCAATGGCTCTAAATGAAAAAAGAATTCTAGAAAAAGTCAATAGTAGGTTTGTAGTAAGTATCGACTTCTGATCATATTCTCAGAAGTTTGTCTTGCTTTGTTTGGTTCAGTTCAGTCTCTTCCAGGAGCTTGTAGGCAAAAGACGTTTTTTAATTGATTTGGAGAATGCATGACTGCTGAGATAAATGATTAGTATAATAATAAGTATGTTTTGTGTGTGATTGCGAGTAGTTCTGCGCAGAGGGCCTTTTTATCCAATACTGAATTGGTTTTAGTCTGCCTGCTTTATTTTTCACTTACAACCAAAACATTAGGTTGTGTTTCAGCATGCTGATGCCACTGAATCTTTGTCCTCTGTTTGAAGGCGAATAGATTGTTCTGTAGTACTCAGACTTGAATAATCACTTAAACTCTATTTCCGCTACAGCCTGTGACTGAGTATGCTTGCCTATGTTTAATAAAGAGGATATTCCATATACTTCATTCCATCCTATTTTTTCCTTCTCTGTTTCTCTTCTCTGTCTCTTCTTCCAATGCAGTGCTCTCTGTTTTCTTCTCTTACCCCCTTCTTCCCTCCCATACACCTGTTTTCTTATAATTAATGCTGATTTCTAATTTCATTTTTGGAAGTCATTCATAAATGCATTTACAAAGAGGTTACTTCATGAGAATGTGCCATTTAGTTGCCATTAGAAGTTGCATATCCTGCATTTCTGTAAATTTTAATAGTAGAGTTTTTATATCCTTAGGTATTTTCATAGCATTTGTTACTCTACTGCTTACACATTTCAAGATACACATGAGATTTGACTAGTATATTGTTTCAGGTTAGTTATATTGCTTTGCTGTGTATTAAGGCTTAAAGAGGTATCTTGGATGTGAAACAATTAACGTAAATTTGTAATAGAAATTCTACAGAATGGAAGTCTTAATACTTTAACCTGATACTACCATGTAGATTATGGTATGTTAGTAGGTCTAATTACTAAGCAGTGAAATAACTTAGAATGATCAAAGATATACCAGGTAAACTTTCCCCGAGGTAATGTTTATCTTTTCATTGAATTGTTGTCATTTAAATGTTAATTTTAAATGCATTTTGTTTGATTTTAAATCCATTTACTGATAACTTTTGTATTGCTATTCAGAGAGGATTTTAAAGTACCTGTGTTAGAGGGTAGTGGAAGTTAGTTATAAACAAACACACACACACACACATATATATATATGTATAAAATATGTATGTATGTATTTTCTGATAAGCTTTATGTATTAAAAAAACCCTGTAGAATATTGCCAGCTAAAATAAAAATTAAGAACCTGCTGGCCAGATACAGTAATGTATTTTAAATGATTATAAATAATGTTTTTGTATAAATATGCTAATATTATTTTCTCACAAGGCTCATGGGCTTCAACTGATTGAAGTTGAATCCAGAAATTACCTGAATTGATCCAGAAATTACTAGTTGTAGAGATACATGAGATAAGAGTGAAACTTCTATTTTTGAGTAATATTTTTTCAAGATGTGTAAATATATTGTAAATCAGTAATTGATCAAAGTTGAATTTGAAATCACTTTATAGGATTGAGCATAAGTTATTTTCCTCTTGCCAGCCAATGTTTTTTTTGATGCAACAGTGAAGATGTAGATCTAGGATCTGCAGTAATACTGGGTTGGAAGTGGCTAGATAATTTGTCATGCCTGTGTCGCAAGTGAAGTCATTAATAGCTGGAGAGGTCAGTTTAAAACCACCAAATAGGAACCCTTGCCCTGAGTAGCCAACTTGTATACTTATTTCATTTTATTATTTAATATTGGATTTATGCTTCTGAAGGAAGAGTTTGGACTTATTACTGAGTTATGGCCTTTATGTACTTGTACTGCATTTAAAAATACATTTATTGAGTAAAAAAAAATCCTACTGATTTTTACCTAACTTAGCTTACATTAGGTAAGTATGTTTAAATCCCATTGCTTTCAGTACAAGTTAGTTAATCTCTGTAGGTAATTTTGAAGATCCTGCCAGATTTTTATCAGCATAGCATAGCTTTTTCTATTGAAACTGAGTTTGTAACTTAAACAACATGTATTAAATTTTCCAGTATATTACATTGCTTTAAAATTGGTTTTGTTTAAATTCACAAGTCTACTTTATAACTTTAAATGCACTTTAAAAATATTTACCTAAAACCTGAAGAAAAAAAAAAATATGGTGTTCTTCCTTCCCTATCAGCACCTCATTCCAAATACAATGAGGAGAAAGACTATAAAGAGCTATACTAAGTCTTTACTCTTCTAAGCCAGGGAAACATGCAGTTATTTGGGGAGGCAGGGGGAGGAATAGAAAGTACACATTTGATCTTAAATAACTTTTTTGTTTCTCTAAGGTAGGGCAACTTTGAGTCTTGCAGAAGTTCAGGAAGATGGTTTGACAATGCATAATTCCTGAGGTATTAATAAAATAAGGTATATGCGCACGTTATCTTTACAAAGAGCAAAATAGATAACGTGCGGCTGAGGGGTACCATCAGTAAATCTGTTGTCTGGATGGAGCTGTATGGTATCTAAAGACATACGTTACTAAGCTTTTGTATGGTGGTGTAGGGTCTGTGTATACATGCAAATTAGTCTGAATTCCTTTGTGTCTTCAAATACTGGACAGGAGCAATTCTCTACTTGGCTGTTTTGTTCTTTTTTGTTTTAAAAAAGGATTCATATATTGCTTGTATTGGAAAAAAAAGAGCTGTGACTTGTATTGGGGTTTATGAATGAATAATAGTCATCTTCTCCCCCTGCCCCATTTTTAGGTTAGTTTATCCTATACATATGAGACGAAAGATGCCCTGTGTTTAGTATTAACCATAATGAATGGAGGGGATTTGAAGTTTCACATATATAACATGGGAAATCCTGGCTTTGATGAAGAAAGGGCTATTTTCTATGCTGCAGAACTGTGCTGTGGTCTGGAGGATTTGCAGAAGGAGAGAATTGTTTACAGGTATGTGTCATCTATAGTCACTCGTACCTTGTCTGTTCGGCATTGAATGTATGAATTGTTTTCTACTAAAATAAGTTTATACTTCATAGTAAAAGAAGCAAAAAAAAATTGTTTAGTTGTCCTTTTCATGGCATGTCCTTCAGAATTACTGATCTTATTTGTCTTCTTACTGTTAATTTAGGTCTAGATACTTCCTATATTCTAAAACATTATAAAGTTGATTCAAGGTTTGTTTGTAAAATTATAGTAAATTGTGATTTACAAAGCAAATTCATTAGTAATCAAATAAATAAATAAGTTTTAGGAACATGGGATTGTATTCCTGCCCACTCTAAAGTAGAAGTTCACAGAAGGCTATAGAAGTCCCTTGCTGCATTGTATGTTACGCCCAAAATGGTAAAAAGTCAGTTATAATCGTTATTGCCCTCTTCTATTTTTATTTCAGGTTCCTTCAATAAACACTTTATTGCTTCTGAATTAACAAAACTGTCAGAAGCCTCATGCATTGCAATTGATATTGTATGATCTTACTTCTCTTTTCTGTCTCTGTACACGCATCATTTAACCCCTGGCCTGCATTAGTGTTACAGAACAAGCAAAACAAACTTAGTGGTGAACAAAGAACGCTTTCTTTATCTTTCTGGTGTGTAACACCAAGTACCACTTGTTGTCAAAGAAGATTTAAAGTATAATCCTACATAACTTTAATATAATGAGTCTTAGTCTTTTCCCTCCCCAATATAGAAGATGAACATACACACAGCAGAACGTGGCAGAACCACAGAGTAAATCGGCCTTATGCTGGTTGTTGTATGTGGTTCCCTTGGCCAATCTTGCAATGTTACACAGTGTGTTTTGGCATGCATGTAGGAAGGAAGCAAGGATGAACGGTTTTGCTCATCACTCTCCTCATATGGATCAGCTACAAGTAGGTCATTTCACATTGCCCAAGTGAAAACAAAACTGATTGTTTAAAATACAAAACAACAACAAAAACCCAAACAAAAAACCAAAAACCCTCAAACAAAACAAAAACAACAAAAAACCCCACAGCCCTTGTGTTTAAGCCCAGCTTGTGAGCTATTTGCCTACAAGAAGACCTTCAAACACATATGTGAAATCCTAGTGTTCTCTGTAATTCCAGGTCTTGGAGTGGTTGTGGTTTCTCCTGGAGCAGTCTTGGTGTCTAGATCTCTGCCCTGTTTTGTGCTATTACATAATCAGTTTCTAATTATTAAGAATTTGTATGGCCTTAAATTTATGAGCAAGGAAAAAAGTAGTTTCACGACCAACTCTGAGTAAAATTGCCTCTTAATTAAAAGAATGGGAATTACTTTTAGTCCTCTGTTCATAACAAAATGAAGGACCAAGAGGCAGTTACCTGGACATGTGTTAGTAACTGAAAAATTTGTATGCTTGGAGGAAAAAGAAGGGTTTAAATTTAATCGTAATACCTGAAGGCATTATTTAAACAATTCAGTATGGGACATACTAAGGGAGTTCCTGCCCAGTATGTAAACAGATGAAAAAAGACTCTAATTATACCATGTGAGCTCAACTATGCTTGCGTACTAAAACTAGAAAATGTTTGGATAATTTTATGCTCTCTGTGGAATCACTTTCAGCCCTGCACTTTTTAATATCGAAAGACCAACTTTTTGTAAAACAAAGTCTTGTTTCTTCTCTTTTGCTAATGGTAGGCTTTTTTCCTGATGGTCTTGATTTGTTTTTTCCATATGTATTTCTTTTTGTATCATGCGTTCAGGAGCATACCTGTAAACTTACAGTTTTAAGTCGAGAACCCAAAACAGGTGGTCATGCAAGTCTTCAGAACATCACCAATTACAGTGATATGTTACACAATCAAAATTCTCTGTCAGGCATCTTAATGGAAATGCATTTAAGCAACAATACAGTGATTATATATGATTAGTGAAACAGAAAGCTTGGGGAAATTTGCCATAATTATTTTCTTCTCACCAAAGAAGTTATGCTGGCAACCTCCAGTGTTAATGTTGGGGGGAGAACATAATGAAGCACATTTTCATTGATTCACGATTTATTTTTCCGAGTTATGGTAACTAATATTTTTCATTCTTCGGGGCAAGAAAATACAGAAGGAATGTTTTTCTTATTTTGCTGTCATTTTGAAAGCATTTAATACTGGTGGGACCACTGAATTTCTGAAATCGGAGCTAGTTCTTTTTCTTGTTGTCATATCTGAAGACCTATTACTGCATTTGTTTTTCAGCTTTAAAGGAGGAGTTTTAAACTCTCTTTTTAGACAAATAGCTTAAACTGTTAAAGTAGACTTTAATTCTGTAACATACTGTTTTATTGAGAATGTGTTTTTGTGTCTATCCATCTGTATATTCACAGTAAAGTGTACTGTAGAGGCAGTGGAAGGGGGAAATTCAGAACTTCTGAAAAAATAAATCCTCGGTGCAGATGGGTGTCAGCAGATAGCAGTAAAATCGGTTCATCTTGTCAGTTTGTTCAGTTCTAGAATGGCAGTTTTAATGTAAGTCAGTCATGTTAAAATTTATTATAATTTTTTTATATTTGGGATGTGTCACCATCAGTAACAACATGCCTCATAAAGTGGAAAAACTAGGCCTAACTTTTGTCTCTGTTAATACCATTTTTTATTGTGTATTTCATGTGTCTTTATACCAGTTATTACTGAATTTCAAGCAGTGGTGTTAGTGCTGTCTGCAGGACCCTGGAGTCAGTTGTGCCACTTTGTTAGTGGGGTTCCCACTGGATTAAAAGAACAGGTGCAGAGCTGGAAGGAGGGCTCCGCACTGCCTTGTGATAGCGATTGAGCCAGTCTGCTTGTTCAGTGGGAGCTTGTGAAACTATCTGTAACTTGCCATATGTTGCTGACATTAGAAAAATAAGCAAACAGACAGCAACAGGCAGTAGTGGAGCTATTCATCCATCTGCTACATAAAAAGTCTGGTAATATGTCGAGCAAAGTCAGGATTTACATACGAGAGTGGGGAACAAGTGCCTGCTTTCCAAAAGGGACTTAATTGCTGGCGTTTTCCTGCAGGAATTACCTGACTACCTGACTCCTTGACTGACTCCTTGAGGATCGTAGTGGGTTTGTTTTTTTTTTTTCCCAGATAAGCTGCTTGGATACCTAGATTTTCCTCACAAACTCATGTAGCTGCCCGTAGTGCAACTGAATGTGCCTGGAAGGTCAAATATCAGGCTCAAAGACCTGTTGAAGCTGTAGTGGATAAACCAAGTAGCTCCTTGCCTGCCTTGTGCCTATGCTCTGAATAGACATCTTTACAGCGAAATCCTCTGAAGGATTTTCATCCAGAAATTTCCTCTGTAGGAAGGCTGGTGTAAGCTATAGCAAAAATAGACCAGTGCTTGTTTAGTCCAATTTAAAATAAATATGTAATTTTTATCTAATTCTTTTTAATGAACCTCTTAGTTTTGTGAGCTTTGCAGTCTTCCAACCTTTCTCAGCTTCATAAGGGAAGACTGCTGCCTCTGTTGCTAGAATTGCATTGCTAGCTCTCGTTCTGAGCTTGGTTTTCAGCTCAAGTAGCCTGTTATCCAGCACAGGACTAATGTCTGTGTATTCCAACAGAAACTGTGACTTTGGCCTCTGTCGTGGTGGAGGAAGGGAAGAGGGAGAAGGCTGATACCCCAAAGCTGGTATCTCAGAGCTAGAATGTATAGCTGAATGCTTCCCAAAGCTGACTTCTTTGCAAATGGCTAGGCCTAGAAACTAATAGCATTAAGGAGCTGGAATTTTCACTAGAAACCACTTATACTACTGACTGGCCAAAATCATGTCACAACAGAATTAGCTTCTATTAAGCAGCAGATTGTTGCTAGTAAGTATTAAGTTCTAGGTTAGGCTTCAATCAGCCTTCTTGGAGATGGAACTCTTTAAACTTGTTTACTTGAGTTAACCTGAGCATATATTATGTGGTTTGAAGTAGATGTGTTTCTACCTAAAGTTGAAGCTGAATTTTCCTTTTCTTTTTTTGGTACAGGTGTGGGGGGTTTTTTTGGTTTTTGTTTTTTTACTCTGATCTCTCCTGATTTCTCTAGTATTATAATCTCATATCTAATATCAAATGATTAATATTATGGGGACTGTCTAGACTTGAAAGTATTAGGAAAGTGTCTTACTGACTTCTTTTATACAGTTAATCTCATGAAATAATGAAACTTTAGCCTGAATACACGTACTTCAGAGCCTCAATTTATCAATATTTGGGAAAGAAAAAGCATACGGATTTCTTGATGAACAAATGTGTGTGTATATTTATTTCATTTTGAATGTAAATTCTAGAGTCGTTCTTCCTAAAATTGCTTCTTTTACATTATTCAGTCTTTTCTGCTTGTGTATGAATAACACTTAATGTCACAACTGTACATATACCCATATAAGTATATTTTGTTTTTAATAATCTATTTCATTAATAACTGATACTTTCTGATGCATATCACAGTAATATATATAAT